AAGAGCTTCCATAAGTGAAAGCCATCTTGGTGATTTATTATACAGTTTTGTCTTTAACTTTTCCCACACCGACATTAATGATTTCCTAATATAATGACTTAAAAAACTACTATGTGCCTTACACTTTTCATACCACATGTAAGCATGCCAACCCATTTGCAAATCATGCCCTTCAAGATACAAGATTCTCTTATTTCTTAAAGTTATCCATTCTTTTAGCCATGTTAAAACAGAAACTTGATAATACAGCATCCAATCAGGGAGACTAAAACCCTCATTCTCTTTAGCCTCCTGAAGTATTTTTAGTTTAATCCTTGGTTTCTTCTTTCTTCATATAAATCTCGAGATTTGAAAATTTAAATCAAAACATTTTCTATCAATTTTTATGGGAATCATTTGGAATAGAAACAAAAGCTGTGGTAATATATCCATTTTAGCTAGCACTATTTTTCCCAGCAAGGATAATTGCAAATTAGCCCATTTTTCCAAATCACTCTTAATTTCCTTAAATAGTTTATCATAATTGTCTTCTTTCAGAGTGGTACACTTAGCTGTAAGATAAATTCCCAAGTATTTAACCTTTTTAACAATCTGAAAGTCTACTTGTTCCATCAGAGATTTTCTCTGCTCCTGTGTGATTTTTTTACTAACAATTTCATCTTTTCTCTGTTTATTTTCAGCCCAGTAACCTTGCCATACTCTTCAATCGTTTGTAGGAGTTTAGGCATTGTTACTAAGGGTTCCTCAATTATGAAAACTAGGTCATCTGCAAATGCTTGCAATTTATAGCTTTCATCTCTGATTCTAGTGCCTTTAATGTCCATATCGTCCCTGATATTTCTGTTTAACACTTCTAGGATCAATATAAACAACAGTGGTGATTACGGGCATCCTCTTGTACCCTTTTGTATATCTATAGTATTTGTAAATTCTCCATTGATTATAATCCTAGCAGACTGCTTTTGATAGATGCTTAATATCGCATTAATGAACTTTTCACCAAACTCCATTTGAACTAGTTGTTGCTTCATAAATTGCCAATTAACATTTCCAAAAGCCTTCTGAGCGTCCATGAATAACAGTGCCATTGGTTTTTCCATATGCAGCTCATAATACTCTAAGATGTCCAAGATAGTTCTCATATTATTCCTCATTTGTCTTTTAGGTAAAAAACCATTTTGATCTGAATGAATAAAGTTTGTTAAATACTTCTTCAATCTTTCTGCCATTATGGAGGCAAAAATTTTGTAATCCACATTTAATAGTGATATAGGTCTATAGTTTTGAATCTGCATCAAGTCCGTGTCTTCTTTCAGTATTGATATAATATTTGCCTCTGTCCAAGTATTTGGTATTTTAGCGTCTAACAATGCTGCATTATATATATCCTTAAGAAGCATAGCGAAAATTCCTTCAAAGGATTTATAAAACTCTGCTGGTAGCCCATCCGGGCTTGGAGTTTTGTCATTCTTTTATCTCTTAATTGCCTCTATTATTTCTGTGATTGTTACTTCTTGATTCAATACTTTTTGGTATTTCTCCAGTATCTTTGGCAGGTCTCCCTTTTGGATATATTCATTGACTTTCTCAGTTGGAATCTCATCATTCTGGTACAGCTTTGCAAAAAAATCTTCAGCTATTTTCTTAATATGTATACTTTGTAGTTGCAGTCATCCTTCTCCATCCTTCAGTTTACTTATTAGTCTCTTCTCTCTTTCCTTCTTTACTTTATAAGCTAACCATCGCCCTGGTTTATTAGCAATTTTGAAGAAGTTCTGTTTGATCAATTTCATTTGCTTAGTAAGTTCGTTTGTATCCAAGAGGTTCAGTTTATGTTTTAGAATATTCATTTGTACCTTAAAGTCTTTTTGGATGGATCTTCCTGTAGTTCTTGTTCATATTTCATCACTTCCTCTACTATTTAGATCGTTCCTGCTTTCTCCTTTCATTTATTTTTACTGAATATGTTATTATCACCCCTCTGACATATGCTTTGGCTGTATCCCAGACATTTTGCAAAGAGGTTTCTTCAGTTTTATTTATTTGAAAGAATATTTGCATTTCCTTATTTATCTCTTCTTTGAAATTTTATCCTTTAATAAGGCTTTATTTAACCTCCATCTGGGCATTTTTACTGTCCCTTTCAATGTCATAGTTACAGGGTTATGATCTGCCCAGACATCTGCCTCTATTTCAACTTCTAGCAGGTCAGGTACTAAGTCTGACTTTCCATTCCAAAGCTTACTATGTTGTTTCTTAACATGTGTTTCTTGTAGGCAAATTATATCTAATTTCCGTTTTTGAAGTTGAGAGAAAATCCTTCTCCTCTTAGAGGGTCCATTTCGTCCATTTACATTTAAAGAGAGCAGTTCAATTCTTCCTTCCATTTTGAAAGCCATATTTAAAGGATATATATTTATCTACTTATGCTTCGCCTTTACACTTCTACCTTTTTTCTTTTCCTTTGGTTCCAGTGTCTGTTCCTCTTGTTGTAAGTCTGTATTTGCTATTTCTCCTTCTTCAGAATGGTATGCTGTTAATTTCATTGGTTCAGTACCTTTCCCTCCTTCTTTTGGAACACCCGATTCTTCCTCTTCAAATGTGCTTCTAAATTTTTCATAAAACTCTTGTGCCTTGAAGATTGAGTCCAGCTTATATCTTGTAGAGTTCCAGGTGAAAAATATTCCTTCTGGCGTTAGCCACCTAAACATGATCTCTTTCTTAATCAGTTTCGTGGTAAGGAATAAGTATTTCTTTTGTCCATCTCTAATCCTCCATGGTATTTTTTTCAAAACAGTCACCTCATGATGATCTTCAGCCTTCAAAGGTTTATCATGTACAGCCTCTAAACATGATCTCTTATAGACCTTTTTGCAAATTTAACATGAACTTCCCTCAGAAGCTTGTGTTTCCTAGCGTAACTTGACTTTACTCTATAAACAAGGTCAATATTTGTGTCCACCTCTTCGTTTTCCAGATCCAACGCCTCTGCCAGCATAGCAATTATTAATTTCCTTAAGACCTCATTCTTTCCCTCAGGTATGTTCTGGAATCTCAGATAATTAGATGCCTTCTCCATCTCTAATATAGCAAGTGAATCCCATAATGACTTGTTTCTTTTATTAATTGTGTTTCTTTGACTACTGTTTCAATTTTTTCATGGGCTTGTTGTATTTTTTGTGTATTCTGTTCAGTTTTAAGTCGAACATCTGCCAGTTGGTTTGATACATGCTTAACAGAGCTGTACAATTTGTCAAGACATTCTCTTTGTTCATTTGCAATGTTCTTCTGTTCAGCTGAAATATTCCTCTGTTCAGCTGACATGTTCCTCTGTTCTAAGCCTAATTTTGATATAGAATTTTGCATAGCCTCTTGGGATGCTTGCATAGCTGTTAAAGATGTTTGTATCGCCAAAAGAGTCATTTGTAGATCTTTTGGGTATTTTTCAGCATCTGCAGCTTTAGACTGGTGAGTTGGACTCTGAGCAGCTGATGTAGGTGCCGAGGAGGAGGAAGGGTGTGTTTTTGTCATACTGATGGTAGTTTTTTTGCTAGTAATTACAAAGTAACAACAGTAAAAGAGAAAAAAAGAAAAAAATCTCTAAGAGAAAAGAGGAAGGAGACTTGTTTATAAATCAAATAGCCACAGGGTGGCAGCAAAGAGTTACTTTGTCTTTATGTGATGTACCAAAGAGGACTAAAAAGAACATGTCTGCCCATCGAGACAACAAAGGTAGTTTTTCTATCACTTAATCTACAATAGTTTTTTATTTTGATTCTTCGCCCTTGGGGAGATTAAAAAAAAGATCTTTCTTTCCAGCCTCATATTTTCCAGATCTCAGTTCCTCTCCCCTAGATTAGTCACCGCTTAAACTCCATGGGGGGGGATTCCTCCCTCCATCAAGGGGGCTTATCTTTCTTCTTTATCCCGATTAGTATTTGCTTCAAGTTCTTTCACGGGTAATATTGGAAAAGGTAGAAATGCTCACCCAGCAGGTCCGATGTACTTCAAGCTGTTGTTCTATGCTATGTCCAGTAGTCTATGGCTTGCAGGGAGCGGATCTCTCCCCTGTGTTGTTCAATTGAGAAAATCCCGAGTTTCTCTCAGTAAATGTGGAGCCACCACACCACATCGCCCAGAAGTATGCTCAGGCTTCTATTCCCTACCCTGATTCTCTTGATTCTTGCGGGCCTGTTTGGTGAACGACTGACAAGTGCAGCCATTGTCAGTACGATGCCTCTCTCCGAGACAGAAGGCAAAACTCATGTGGGTCCGTAGGAGACATCTTGGGCCCACATTTCGAGCACTTTTGAAAAGCTGCACACTGAGCTATCAAGAAGAAATGGATAGTGAACGGAAGAATAAAGTCAAAGAAGATAGTAAGAAGATGTATATAACTATCATTGGGGGGGGGGGAAGGGAGAAGAACTGTTTAACCAGGGAAAGGTAAGAGTTCTTAAACTTGGAAAAGGTATTTTTAACAAGAACAACAATAGAATAGAATAGAGTAACAAATGGCTTGCGGCAAAGCGATCGGTGGTCGAAAGAAGACTGGGGAAAATGGTGGGCACTCCTCCCGTTATAGCATAGCATGGGAGGAGTGTGGAGTTCCTTCCAAAATCCGTTAAAGCTTTGAATTCTATCTGGCTGCAGGCACTGCGCAGGCGTAGCACTCATAATGTGTGAAGCACAGTGACGACAAAGAACACCAGTAACTATTTGCCATAGCATCTTTCTAACTCCTTCTCTTTTCTTACTTTCTATTCTATGTCAACACTGAAGTATTTGAGTTAGAAACTTTACAGAAATATTTAGGGAATGAATCCTGGCTTCCATAAGTGTGTAAAAACATTAGGTTCCATGGGCAGTATTTTTTCACTGCTAAACTCCAGAGCCCAGATTTTGTAGATATACTCGTATGATTAATATTGTGTCATGGTAGAGGAATTATAAGTATGGAAAGAATGTTTTAAAAAGCAGTCTATAACCATTGTATTTACCGCTGTAAAAGTAGCAAAATACCCGTGGGTACTTGAAGAAGCATGGGCCACTGAGGATTTAATCTGAAAAACAGGGCAAAAGCAGTAATTAAAAAAATGACCTATGTAAATTGCTACGAACCTATACTATATTATTTTGGCATCAAACCTTTTCATCAGGAAAAACCCTTAGGTGTTAATTTGATTCTAGCTTTTGATATAGTAACACAAGAGAAAAGGGGTTAGCTTGCAGAACACTAGACTAAGGCAAGTTCACATTTTCAGATTCCTTCCCAAAATATGACTTACCTTTGAATATTCCCAGACTCATCACTGTGGGAAGAACCACTCTGTGCAGAACAAGCTTCTGCAACAAACATGGAATCAATTTCTGTCAATGTCTCCTGGGCATCAACTGACTTCTCTCTTGACCTCATACTGTCATTTTGAGAATCCAGTGATACAATATCAGAAAGGGAACTCATAACACCTGAATCTTCTGTGGTGTCCTCTGAGGCAAAACAGCTGCTAACAGAATTGGTCTCTTCTATTTCAGACAGATCCAGAACTATATCTTCCATGCTAGAAATATGTGGAAGCTGTAGGTTGCCTAGACAAAACATGGCAAAGCATAGTTAAGCACAATTCTGTATTCTTTTGAAGAGTGAATATTTCAGAATTTATCACCATGAGGTGATTCCCACTACCACCCATACGTTTTTGCCATTTTGAATGAAGTTATGTTTCGAAAGTTAATTGTGAGAGTGAGAGTATGTTTCCATGAACTAAAAATCCAGTATGTTATGTGAAGTGTCTTTCATATGGAGGACACGGAGAATTTGAGTAGGCATGTCATACTAACTAGGAATAAATGGAATTTTTCACAAACAGTATATTGTAAAACAATATACCATACACTTTTAATAGAGATCACTGTTATCTCTATATAAAATCCACAGAAAGGAGAGAGAAGCTTATCATGTGATGCAGTTGCTCTGCAAGCCAAAGGGCACACAGAGTCCCCATTAAAGGAATTAAAGACAAACAATTAATTCCATGTAATTACTGTGGGATCATTAAATCCAAGAAGTAATGCAGACTGGACATATTTTGAATATAAGAAGTCAAATTTTTATGGTGATCCCACAAGAGAAAAAAAAACTCAAGAACACAACCAAAGTAAGAAAGTACTGTATCATTGAGTGCATAATTATCTTCATATGTTGTATTGGTGGATGGCCAAAAATAAACTTACTGCTATATCGGTACAATGAAACTCCCCATGCACCTCACATGTTTGCTCCAGAGGGCTAGGGGACTTTCCAGAGCAGAACTGGGACTGTGGAGGACTGCAGCAAGGAGGAATGCAAGGGGAAGCCCTGCTGGGAAGACTACTCATATAATGCTGGATTTAACTCACAACACTGTTTCAAAACTGATGTAAAATGTTGTCCAGAAAGACCATTTAATTTTAAAATTGGAAATATCTCAAAAGTAATAGGATCAGATAACAAAGTCAAACAGAGTGAAGTAATTCTGTTTCAGTTCAGCAAGTGAGAATTAGGTCAGCTCATCTCCAAGTGCAAATTACATGAATGTCTCCCACAATCCAGGGCTGCACACAGTTTAATCTTGATAATTATTTCCATAAGTGCTTGACATGTTGACAAATGAAGAAAACAAAGTATACATTTTTAAAATGAAATATTTAAATATTTTCCATCTGGATTCTTCTAAGCCTATAATGATGGTTTTATACTCTTCACTCACTTGCATACATAGGTTTGTTTTAACAAAGAATTAATTATTTCAAAGTGCTTGAATAATTATCCGAACACCTTGAAGAAAAGAGCTCCACCCATGGATCTCCTCTCTCTGCAGACCCTTGGGATGTCCTCTGGTAGGACTGGAGTCACAGACTGATTTTTGGTGGGGATTTTTTCATCTTCTTAATGAATAGAAACATAGAAATAGAGCGAGTCAGAAGGGGTCACCTGGGCCATCTAGTCTGACCCCCAGCTCCAGCTGGCTCCGCTCACGACATGCCCATCATGTGCATGTCCAGCTTATCTTTGAACCCCTCACCGATGGGGCCTCAACGACCTCTTGTGATATGATATTCAACAAGTTCAATATGATATTCAATAAGTTCAGGTGTTTTTACTGCACAATAATCACTGGATGTAATGGATGTTCTAGGAATGGAAATAAAACTAGTATCTTTCACACAGAGTATCTTTCCTGTGAATGTTCCTATAAGTAATTAACCTTAACTGCATGAGTCATTTTATTAGCATACCAACGCACACACTCTCACAAGGTTGATGAAGTACATGCGGCATGTTTCCAGGGGTATAACTGGCAATACATCTACTGATCTAAGCCATTTGAGTGGTTTAAAATCCCATTGACTTCAGTGGGAAAAACAATTAACTAAATGAATGCAACTCTAATTGAAATCAGTATGACTTAAAATGCTTAAATTAGTCTAGATGAAATTCTTAGGTAGCACCCATAAACCCACCTTCCTGGTAATAAGCCCTACTGAACTTAATTTTCAGAAGAAATCCGTGTGATTGTACTGTAATCCTCTTTCCTTTAACAGTGTATTTTAGATATACAAGATCCAGAAAAAAATGTAGCACCCATTTAAAAAATATGACTAATACCATAATTTTAAAAACCTATTCATGAATTAAGGCCATATATTTGTTACATATCAGAGATCACACTTTAAATAAAGTACTTTGTTTCTTTGTCAATGGAATTTTAAATAAAATCAAAGAATAACTCTTCTTGATTAATGCTATACACTGACCATTAAGCACAGAAATAGATTCCTGACTGTACAAGAAATAAAATAAGTTTACAAGTTACAATTAAAGCTCAGCCAATTCTGATATCAATAACCTTTGCACTGCAGAAGTTTCTGGCATTGCCTAGAGTTTGGAAAGCAGTAAGACATCCAATTTTTACAAGTAGTTTTTGGTTTTTCAAATTAAAATTGAACATATGTACACACTCTTTAAAATAAATGAATTATTTTGTTACAGGTGCACTGTATCAAGGAAATAAAATGATAACAGTGTCAATAGGAACAGAAAGAAAAATTTTATGTAATAATTCACAAGACAACTAGGAAACTTGATCAGAACCACTACCCGACACCAAAAATCACATACAGTATTTTCCAGCTGTGAGTAAAAATAGAATGCATGAAGGACAAAGGAAAGATGTAACACAGTATCAGAGAAGTAAAGCCCGCAGTAATACAAAGCAGACATTTGGTTTATGAAAAATGCACAATGCAATATATGCTGATGCTCATTTCTGTATATAAAAATTAAATGGCTCTCCCCATTTCTGCTAAAATCACACAGAACAAAGGATGGTTTGCTAATGCTATTATCTATGTAACCTGTTACATTAGCTAGCCAGAAAGGGAGCAGGACAACAACTCAAGACATGTGAGATTTTTGTCTCTGCACCATAGCAGTTATGCCATGGAGTTTATTTATTTTATTTATTTTTCAATTTATATCCTGCCTTTTTCCTACAAAGGGCTCAAGGCAGCTTACATCTCCTCCTCCATCTTATCCCCACAACAACAACCTGTGAGGTAGGCTGGGCTGAGAGTCTGTGACTGGCCCAAAGTCACCCAGGTGGCTCCATGGCTGAGCGGGGACTAGAACCCAGATCGTCTGAGTCCCAGTCCCATGCTCTTAACCACTACACCACACTGGCTCTCCATTTTATACCCCATGCTGTTTAACATCTACATGAAATTGCTGGGGGAGGTCATTTGGAGGTTTGGGCTGATGACACCCAGCTCTACCTTTCCTTTACATCTAATCAAGGTGAGGTAGTGGCTGTCCTTAACCAGTGTCTGGCCAGAGTGATGAGCTGGATGAGGGCCAATAAACTGAAACTTAATTCAGATAAGATGGAGGTCCTGTTGGTGGGAGGCTCAGCTTTCCAAGTAAGTGATTTTCGCCCTGTTCCGAATGGGGTTGCACTCCCGCTAAGGGAAAGTGTGCATAGTTTGGGAGTGCTCCTAGACCCAGAGTTATCTTTGGAGTTCCAGGTGACTTCTGTGGTGAGGAGCACTTTTCAGCAGCTACAACTAGTCCATCAACTACATACTTACTTGGATGAGCAGAGCCTAGCAACAGTGACCCATGAGCTGGTAACCTCCCAACTGAATTACTGCAATACACTCTACATGGGACTGCCCTTGAAAATAGTCTGCATACTTCAGTTGGTCCAGAACAGAGCAGCCAGGCTTTTGATGGGGACCAGTAGGTATGCTCACATAACTCTGGTTAAAGGATAATTTAAAGGACCTATGGGCAGGACAGCAGAAGTGAAAGAATATGAGACTTTTGTTCCAGTTTGAAACCAAATGGCTGATTATCCTTCCTCTTTAAAAAGTCATGAAAATGGCTGGAAAACATGGGAGAGGCCCTGAAGGACAACATTACAAAAAAGGTCTCAAAAATGTCAATGAGCAGGGATCATGAGCACATGATAAATGGCTTATGTAGAGAACTCCTTGAAAAAACAGTTAACCCAGTGAACCCTGGGAAAAACACCCTAACCCTAACCAGAACCAGGAGAGGATCTACTGCTGCTTAATATGGGAGAAACATTCCCCAATAATATATTTAATACATGGAAATGGACTAAAAATAACATGACAATCTTATCTGCTGTGCATTTTGTCATAATCCTCCCAATTGAGAACTTTTTCACTAATTATGTTTCATATCTCAGCCTATACTTATAAAGAATAGTATCTGCAGTCATCCCAAGCAAACAGAGGAGTCCAAAAGTGAACTATTTCTTGTACAGATATCCCCTGTCATGGCAAGAGAAAATGCAGCTGATTGGTAAGTGACATTAAGTGTAAAGTATATCATATTTCCACACCACCACGTAACTCCAAGAAACAAATTTAAGTTCTTTATTAGTAACTTCCTGAACAAAACACTCTGAGCCCTAAAGGACTGATTTTGTGCTTTAAATAGTTTTTAACTCTTTCCCAGAATGAAGACATCTGAAATGAGAGACAAAATGTGTTTGATACTTTGTCCAATTTGCAAGGGACACTGTTTGGCTACAACAATAACAGAACTGCTCCACTTTCTGTTCTAATTTGTTATGCCCATAGCTGGAAAGGTGCTACTCTACAGTGTTCAAGGTCCAGGAGAGCTTGGGAGACACAATAAACAACAAGAACTGGAATAAGAAACAACCTGGATTACAGACATACAGATATTGTTATGCTGTACTTCAAATCTGGGGTGTTTAGCTACTGTATGAAAATGTTAATTAAAGCATGGTGATCAACCTGTGTGCTATCCTGATGAAAGAACACTGGAATGCAATAGTTACGTTGCGATTTTAAGCCTCATCAAGATCATGTGGAGAAACAAGACTTGCTAGATTAGGGGCATGATCCTCGATTCGGGTGTGAGAGGCCATGGTTTACAGTCTCAGGAAAAAAACACACTTGCATCGTAAATGAGGGATTATGTTTTGCATGTCTATCCCATGTTCAATATTTTGAACATTTTGAAGGGTCTTGGATAATCCATCAGGGCAATTGTT